CACTTCCATTTCACCTACATATTTTATATAGGCAAAAAGGTAAGGAACTTAACATTTATTACATATGCTATTAAAATTAAATAGTATAGTATCGTTATTAGCAAAAACTTGTAAAATACATAGTAATAAACTATTGGCACTATCCGAACTTTCAAGGGTATTGGAAAAATCAACATCTGCCTGTTGGAGTCGTGTAGTGATATTTTCACATTCCGTCCCTTTTTGTATCCTTTTAGCTTAAAATTTCAAATTTCCGTCACGTTGCCTTTAATGCCACCCTAAACATATCCAGCTACACGGTCGTAAAAAAAAAAACAGCAAATGTTCGACTCAAATGAAGTGATGCAAACTATGAACCCAAGGATGGAATTATGGAAAGGAGCGGACTGAGCTCGTCCGACCTAAGTGAACCTCTTTGTTTGGCTGAGTTTTGAGTAATGCCGCGATGACAGGCATTCAATGTGATTTGGGTCTCGAAAACTTTTAACGCTCATACTGCGTATACGAATTGAGACCGACAAATGGCATTGGCCCTAATTCCAACACTCTGCCAATGAATCGCATTGGTGGCATGAAGTGATGGGTCCAAGCTGAAAAGTCAATTCAATGAGATGGGGAAAGCTGGCCAATTGACTTTGGGCGGAGGATTGGTAGTCAAGTTTTTCTCATTTTATTTTTATGCTGAGTAATGGTCATTCGGTAATGTCCTTTTTGTGGCCCCAAGCAAACACTTCACCCTCTGAAATTCCCTCTTCTTAAATAAAATAAAATTATCACTCGGAAAATAAAGGGAATCGGCAAAAGAAATCCTCTTGCCATAAAGTACAATTATCAATGCCCTCTGGCCCCATTAGACAATTTATATGCAAACGTCAGACGGCTAGACATTCGACGCTAATGAATGCCAACACGCAACAAAAAAAAAAAACGGAAAAAATTCATCGGTGAAAAAAAACCAGCAATTGAATAAAGTGAAAACGACAAAAACAATAAATAAACGCAATATAAAGTTCAAAAGCCACCACCTGAGGCCCTTTGCCAAAAGGTGCGCATCTAAAATGGACAATAAATAAAATTGCTGGTCTGAAATTGGGTGCAAACCACTTTTATGTTTAAATATTCAAAAAGAGATATCACGGGGTGTATCCAATTCAGGGATTTTAATAATACATCAGATGGATTCATTTCTGCGATTAACCTCAAAATTTTAAGCCCATCCGGAAATTAATTCGAGATATATTTTTTCAAACACAATTATGGATTATTTAATAATTTATTAAAATTTTGTGTACCTTACGTACCAATAGACAAATACAGTGTGATCAGGTTTCCGCTAGAAATATCACACTATTGGTTGTGTATCTGTTCCATGGTGTATTTTTAATTTAATTTGCAAACGGCAAATAACGCAACCATATTAATTTTTTTTGCTAAAAAATAGGTATCAGTTATTTCAATCATTTTTTTCTAGAAAGAACATTAATTTGTGTTTATTTTTTTTTGTATTCCCGACTCAGGTAAATTGGCTGGCAGAGGGAAGTTGAACAATGCCAAATCTTTCGACATATCCATAAATTAACCTTCAACCTTAAAGAATTGCCCAAAGTACAGAAAATCAGTGGAGAGTAAAACTTTGGGCATCAACTGGACCAGCATAGCAAAAAAATGCCAGGGAAAAACGGCACGCGTTGCGGAGGCTCGAAGGAAAACACTCCGGAATTCGTGAGGATGTACATAGATACCCTACTATGTATGTGTTCGTATTGTTTTGGCAACGCCGAGTGGGTGTATGGGATGGGTAGTGGGTGGTTTGGTTGCCTGCTTGCTCTTATGTACACAGACATCTGGAGAAAACCTCGAAAATTGTTTATTGTTTACTCATCGCACTCAACGCCTGGTTGCAAAGCATTCAGTCGTATCAAAGAATGAGATGCTAAGTGTTCCTCGGAAGAGCAAACAAGATTTTCATTTAACCAGTTAGACCGGAAAGATAGCAATCTATGTTTTTAATTTCAATAATTCAAGCATTTATTTTTAGTTAACGCCACAGCATCTTCAATTAGTAAACTAGCTTGATGAATAGCAAGGACAATATCCAAGAGCAAAGCAACGACTATAATACGATGGGTAAGCATGACAACGCAACCCTTTCCTTTCAGCAGTGTGCGAATCAAAGAAAATTCTTCTATTCCAACTCATTGGCATTTCAAAAGGGAATTGATTACACGCAATTTAAGCCTTCAAATAGGTAAGAGATTCGCTGTGGAACACTATTGTCAAGCTAATGGGTTTGATAATGAAGTCACAAACTTTGTTGAAAATCAATTCCTCGAAATGTCTACAAACAATTACTACACAAGTTATTCAATGTTTTAATGAAAGCAATTTGCACAGCCGTAAAACTGATTACTCACTGCTGCCATTTCGTAAGTTCACCAAAGTTAAGTGCCACAGCACAGCAGGAAGCCTACTAATGAGACAAATCCCTTCGCTGGCCTTTGTTCGGGCAAAGAATTCCGATGACGGAAACCAATCATCGAAACTGAAGGGAACTTTAAGTCCTTGCGGCGTGGCTAATTAACTCCCAGCTACCAACGGTATTAATTTTTCCCTGTCCGATGTCTAATGCCCAAATTTAAGGCACATAAATTGGGATTTATTTCGGTGGACAGCGCGGGTCAATGGTGTAAGTACAAGCGTCATGCAAGCAAACATTATGTATTTAATTTAGACGCTGCCCCCGGTAATTTGAGATAATGAACTCTGTGGATGGACATTAGACAGGAGAAGCAGTTTCCTGGACAGCCTGCTACTTTATGCATTATTAAAATGCCGCATGCCGTGCCGTTAGACTCGACATATTAAAAAATACCCAGCAGAGATGTCTCCTCATGCTGGTATCTTTGCGTTTGCGATGTGCGAGATGCTGACGCCATTATGTGTTAAAAAAATACTATACCACACCATACCATTTTCCATTTCCGAATTGCGTGTTTTTCGGGGCTACTTTTTATCCACGTTTAATTTATTCTTTTATGTCCAGAGCGTGTTGCTTTGATGTGCCCACAATGAAGGCGCCACAACTCGCACTCGCACTCGCAATAAATACAACTTAGGCATTCCACAAGCAACCACCAGCCACCAGCCACATGAACTGTGATCCATGTATCCTCTGCTCAGAGTATGGTTTAGGTTTGTGGGTAAGGGCTTAATGGGTGGTGCGGTCTGGGCATCAGTTTCCTATTGTTGTGCGATTTCCGCCCTTAGATTGATATTTCGTGTTCGGCTGAGTTACCCTTGTGGCCCAAAACTTGGTCGAAGACACTAACACAAATAGCCCAGAGCATCGAACGCCCACACCAAGAAGTCTTCATAAATTATGCATATGATCAATTAAATACAGAACATTTCACAACGCATTTGCGGTTTGGGACCCTTTGGCAATGCGCCTTCGGACATCCGCAAATATTTTGTGTGCATTCATAAAAGGCATATTGGGCATTTCAAACAATGCCTATCTCTTTATGCACTAAAATGTACAACGTTTCCTGCGAATTGTTGCTGGTATAAATGTCAATTCAAAGTTCTTATTGGCTCTTTAATATTGTTACACATCGAAAAACATGGTCGGTTGACCATTCATAAAGATATTATCAAACTAAAGAAAATAACTGATTTTCTTAAATTAAAAATAGCGCAAATACAAGAGCTGATGGACTGCAGTGGGAAACTATGCTTAGAAAAGTCTAATATATTATAACAATATGCGCTTGGGATTGCAAAAAACTTCCGTTGGCCTGTGTAATGAATCTTTTGTGAATAGAAACATTTTCTCCAGGTGTATCACATAATCGCCTTAAAAACCTTTCTTCCATTTTACTATGAAAGAGCTACTGTTAGATACAAAAAGTTTTCGTTCACTCAAATTACTTTATATAATATCCTTTGTTCCTTTTTTAGGAAAAATTTATAGCTTTATATTTTTTTCTTGAATAAATCAATAGGCTTATAACAATTTTAACAACAGAACTATCGTAAAGAAACGCGCAATATAATTTGCTTGCCTTCATCTTTAAATCATATTATTTGAGTATAACAATTCAAGAATAAATGAAGGAATGCGGCTGTTCTGTTTTTTAAAATTTTTTTTTTTGGTTCTCTTGATTAACATGTCATCTGTCATCGCAATTAATATACGCAGAGAACGCCTTGGCAATATGAAATTCTGCAACCACGCAAACGAATTGTTAAGCTAGCTGCATAAAACTTTCCCAAAATTTGTAATTTTATTGCAGTAAGAATATAGTTTCGAGCCGGGTCAGAAGACTACATCATGCTCCCACAGGAAATCGGAAAATAAATAAATAATAAATATAACGTCGCTGTTTTTCAATTTTTTTTAAACAATCTTTAAGTAATTGTTAAATGTTTCAGAACTAAGGTTTTAGTTTTATTTAAATATGTATTTGAATTAAAAATAATAAAATGTAAATATAGGAAACAACAAATAAATTGAGATGAGCAACAAAGAACATATTGGCATTACAAAAAGTCCAGTTAATTATTGGCAAATAAGGAATAAAACATTATCCTGAACCCGTTAATTGTTTAACCAAAACGACCCAAAACAAATTATACCAAGAAGCCAATTACGCCCCAAAAAAGGGTCGACAAAATGTAATTGGTTATAACGTATAAAGTAAACAAAACACGATTCTTGGAAGCACACAGTTTTTTGACTTTTTGTGATAAAACTACAACCAATTTTTTTGAATTACATTAGTTTTTCATTTAAAATGACTTACATAGACATTTAATTACGACAAAAAGAAATAGAGTATTTTTATTAATGAAATTAATTGGAAGAAACAATAAAATTGTTTTTATATGTTTTTAAATTGTATACCACTAATTGCTTTTGTTTTTCTTTTTTCGAGTCAATTAATATAAATGATTTTTAAATTCGGATAATAGATGAAAATTATTCGTATCACACTCACATTTGCGTTGTATTCCTTGAGATTATTTGTTTGGAATGTATTTGTTTACACTTCGCCACTTAAGCACTTTTATAATTGAATACACAAACAGCTCAGTTTGTTTTTGTTATTTATTTTTTTTTTCACTGACTTACAGTTGGTCTATATATATGATCCGCAATATTTTATCCGCATTGTGATCCTTTCACGCGCTCTGTATTTTGCCGACTGCGAGTGAAATTCCGTCGGACGATTATGATTTGGCGCCAAAGTGCTCGGCACATCGAATTTCCCCTCCTTCCAGTTTTCGAACTACTTTCGAACTGGAACTGAAACTGGATGGTTTTCTAGCCGGCAAACAACGCCTGCGCAAAAAATAAAATAAACGCGTAAACAAAGACCAGCTGTTTTCGGCATAATACATATATTACTCTTCATTGACAAAGGAATGTACTATGTAGTGGGTGTGTGGGGTAACTCTAAGCATAAGTATGAGTGATGTGATTAGGGTGAGCTTGTGTGCAGTTTTAATAAATATAAATGATTTGTAAAATTTCTACAAAAAAGAAAGGAACATTTTATTGAAAACCATCGAAGCAAGCCACAACGCTTCTCAAATGGAAATAAATTAAAGTGGGTGGTGTTGTGTTTTAGGTGAAGGAACGGAAAACGAGGCTCAAGGCCACGCCTTTCGCTTGTCACGCTGGTTGAGAATTCTCACAGCTGCCAGTCAGAGTTCCATACACTTGACACCTCCCATGTTTTCAGATTTTTTCTTATTCTCGCCTTAATTTCCTTTGACGACGCATTATTTCAGCCCTTCGACACCATGCGTTACGGCTTGAACAGCTTTTGACTGGGCCCAGAGTGTCTGGCTGAAATGGTCCGAAGACAATAATGGCCGTCTCATTGCTTTGGACACCTTTATTTATTTGGTTTCGGTGAAACCCATCCGTTTAAATCACGAGTTATCAAAAAGTTTGAAATGTGGGGTGCAGTTAAAGTCTCTAAAACTGGTTTCGAAGGGTATGTCTTAAAAGAGAAGTAACAAGAAATTTGTAAAATTTGATTCTGGCCAATTTTAAAAGTGTTCTTTAAATATTTAACATACCAATAATATTAAGTTAAAAGAAAGACTTGTTATTTTCTAGAAATAATTAAACTGAAATCAAAAATGTTATATTGTACGAAATCATCTTCCTTGAGCTATATGCAAGCTTTAATAAAAATATTAATAAAAATAAACTAGACTAAAATAAAATAATTAGAGAAATGTCGACTTATTTAAATATTTCTGCTTTTATTAATCATCAATATTTAATATAAAATATTGGGTTACTTTAGGCTAAGTTAGGTACAAACGGTTAAGGGCTAAAGGGGTGAGGGCATCAATTATGATTTATTTATATTGATTATTAATTATTCATATATGACAGGGTTTTGGTGCTTTTGGGATAGTGGTTGGGATGGGTTAGTTCCAGCTGCTGCCAGAAAGCTTATTATTTTCATCTAGCCTTACGTGTGTTTCTTAAAAAGAACAGCTAAGCAGTTGCCTTGAATTTAAACATTTAAAGATGTTTCCCATTTTCACTCGTTTGCCGATTTAGAAATTTTTACCATTTTTGTTTTACTATTGCATACTTATAGGCATAAACAAGTTTTCGACCTTGGTTATCAATTACGTGGATAAAATTAATATATTTTAATGAGTAAAACTAATAAGACTTTTGGTTTCAATATCTTAGGAAGCATTAAGCTTAAGAGTTAAATCTTATCAAAAGCTCCTACAAATATGCATTTAAGCCCATTGATAAGGCGTTTCTCTTAGCCTAAATATCCGTTTCTCTTAGACTCGCTCTGCAAGCGAGAAAATCAACAAAAAAAAAAGGTAAACAGAAAAGTTGAAGACGAAGCGTTTAATTGAAACGGAAAGCAGAACGAATTGAAAGCCCGTATCCCCGCTCTTTGTATTGCTCATTTTCGCGTCGCAAGAGAGCTCATTTCGAGTGGGGAGACCCCACAGCGCTCTCGTTGTGTTTCATGTTTTGTGTTTTGGGGGCCTAACGGATTTTCGCTGGCTCTGTTTGTCCGTGAGCGCCGACGTCGACGCACGCCTCTCGTTTTTCGCGCGCTTCTCGCAGTTCTCGGTAAATGCGCAAAAAAGCCAGCAACAAATTCAAATCAAATCGCAACGCAACGCATGGTGAATACATGCCGTGTATTTTATAAATAGATCAGCACAGGCCATATAAAGCGTATTTCAAACGAATCAAGAAAAATAAAAAGTGATTAGTTGATAAGGGATATTGTTTTTTGAAAGAATTTGCCGCGCGCGCAAATTAGTTTCGAATATCGCGTATACGCACGGTCGGCAAATAGTAATACAAATCAAATTGAGCAAACCAATAAAACAAGGGAACACAAATCCAAAAACGGGCATATCAAAAAACCAATAAACATTTCCTAGTATTTACAACGAACCAAGGGAATACCCAATATATGGATTTATATAGCACATTTACAGCAATCAAGGATACAGAGGAATTGGAAGGATAGCCGCAAGGATGCCAGCCAGCGGGTTGCAATCTCCACCAGGTCGACAGGCTAACGGCATATCAGGATAAGGACTTGGCGACTTGGACATGGCTCCTCTATTTGTCTAGTGGGCAAATACCAGCGAACCGGGAACCAGGCCACACACCCACTCATACACACACCCACACTCACACACACATACACACACTTTCGGACAAACAAGGACGTTTGTCATTGTGTGCGTCAAGGACGCTGACACACGTACATGCTTACAAAGCATTCATAGTCGCAGTCGCAGTTGTTGTTGTAGTTGTGCCATACAAACAAACCAGTGTCGCAAAGTGGGCGTGCCAGGTGGGCGGCCTCTGATTAAATATACATCAGTCAAGCGCAAGGATCCCAATTTTCAGCAATTGTCCCATGTAAAAGGACACCAAGGGACAAGGAAAAGCGCAAAGCAGGATACCAACTTATAAGCAGAAAAATGGCGCGACGCAAGGGCAGCGGTCGAGGCAGTAAGTAGATTTTCTTGTTAATTATTTAAATCAAAAATTTTCGCGAAAGAGTGCCAGCGAAATTCCGGGAATTTCCGTTTACATCTCAAGGATTTCCAGCTGTTCTAGTAAACTTTCTAAAATGTTCGAAGAACAAAGCTGACTAAAAGTTCACATCTTACAACATCTGAGATTTCGTCGGTCTGACACCTAGCACTTTACTACTATCCCTATTTACTTCCATAGTTAGAAACTTTTCAGGGCAAACAATGTTTTGTGTAAAGTTCACATAAATATGCCAATATCAAATGAAGACTGTTAAGGGCCAACTCTGAAACAAGTCTTCTTTGCAAGGCCACCACCACTAACTAATACAAGAAAAAAAGATTTGTTTTTTATTTTCTAAAAAATTGTTTGACTTAGGGCTTACAATAAAAAGAAAAATGGATGTAAGCTCTGAAAAAGTACCAACCTAGTTCTTGAATTTTCCACCCACTACTCAAGGACGTCGAGTTTTACAGCTGCCATATGGCAAGACACTAATATCCCTATCTACCAGCCCTTGCTTTTCGCCCACACTTCAAGGCAAAAGAATCTCATCAAGTGCAGCGATTTTTGTTGTCGTGGCTCAAAGGAAAAAATATAATTAAGGAAATAGTATTCAGCCACGCCCCCACTTGAAACCTTTGCCCGTATCTGTATCTATAAGATACATTTTTGCATTATTATTTGTGCCACGACTGCTTTACACACTTGCACAACGAGCGAGATGGAAGAGCGTTGGTGGGAGAGGGAGAGCATGCATAAAACATGAAACAACAGCGTCAGTAGTCACTTTTCATTGCATTGCGCCCACGCCCCTCTCGCACACCGCCCAACCACCACCCCCTCTTATCATTTCATTTCAGTTGCGTTGGCGCGCGCTCTGCAAAATGTTGGGGATTCCCTTACGTAATCCCCCAGCGCACACAAAAGGCAAACAAACAAACAAACAGACACATACACATACACATATACAAACACATACTCGCGGCAAACAAAAGAAAAACAAAAACACAAACGAAATGGGCAAAAGAAAGAGGCAATGCCAGAAACGAAAAAGCAGAAAACAGAAAAACATAAAACAGACGCAAACAAGGCAGCTTGTTTGCCAGCCAGTTGGAGTCTCCCCATGTAAAATGGCCTGAAAATCAAGCTCAGCCAGCGTCATGAACTTTTGCGCTGCTCACCCGCTCAACAGGCATCTCACAGATACAAAGATACAAGATACACAGCACAGAAATAAGGAAAGATACTTTTATTTTATATTGAAGCAACAATTGCCAAATATCAAGATAATACTCGATAATATAGATTTTGTAATTTTAATAATAAATTTTAAAATTAAGTTATTCTAATGTCAAAATTATAAGTAACAAGATAAATATAATTGCAAAATTATTTGATCATTTTTAACTTGAAAATCTATAATTTCTCTCAATGCTTTTTTGTGTGTACCATCTGAAAGATACTTGGGCATCCACAGTCGTAGTCTCAGTCACAGATACTTTGCGTCACGCGGCCTGTTAGTCAAGTTGCTCGGCTGCTGTTACTCATGCTACAGTTTGAACCTATTAAAAAGCCAGATACTTTGTTGGTTGCCCCCCTGCCCGCCCTTCGCCATCCTCCGCTCAGATACTTTGGCCAAATGAGATACAAGTGTGCCTGGCTTTTGATATATGCCAAGTATTTCTCGTTGGGCGGATACAGTGTACATTCCCAGCATTTAATACCTCATAAAGTGGGGGCGATTTTAATTTCTGCCAAAGCTTTTTTTAAAAGTACTAAATTCCAAATTTTAAATGTACCAGAAATAATATTTTTCAAATTAAGCTTTATTATTACTATAATTATTTATTAGTAATTTTATGCAGTAATGTAGTACTCGATTTTATTTAAATTATTTTAAATTAACTTAGCATTGCTCTAAGTAATAAACTAATTTGAAGATAAACTGAAATCTTTTTTAGAATAAAAGTATTTCTGGAATTAAACTTAATTTTTATAATAGAAACATTAAAAAAGTCTTACGATTACCATTACCATTACTATCAGCATTGTTAAACTAATGTTATACACATTTAAAGAATATCTCTTCTTTAAATAAGGTTACAACAAAGTTTGGGAGTTACCAGTCAAAAAAAAATGAATAAATGTTTTTCCTATTATCTGCTTCGCTTTCTATTAGAGATTAAGTTAATATATTTATTTAAAGAAGGGTTAAGTAGGAAGTTACCTAGAGCCGCCACTGTAGCATGTTGCGCCTACATGTTCAAAGAGCTAGCGTCTCACTTGGCTACGCCTTGACTTTAAGCTGCTGCCGATGGGTTTCGGTTCGGTTTTGAGTTTGGTTTGGCCACGAGTATGGGCATGGGTCTTGAGTCTTAGGTCTTGAGTCTTGAGTCTGAGCTTTGAGGTTGGGGAGTTGGGCTGGTACACTTAAGCTGGCTTTGGCTTTGTCTTTGCCTTTGTCTTTTGCCTTTGCCTTTGCGTTGCCAGTGACTTCGCCGCTGTAATCTCTTTTCGCCTCCGTCTAACAACGTCAAAATTAAAATAGACTTTGCTCAGGGTTCTCGGCACTGTGTTCGCATCGCCTTTGCCTTGGCTCTGGGACATTGTGTGGATAATTTATGGCGGGGGAGTCGGTTGGGGAGTTGGAATGTATGGAGTGGTGGGTCGAGGAAATCCCACCCACTCCCTGCGGCTGGCATTTCCCCGCACTTTTATTACAGAGTATTTTCATTCCATCGCTACCTTTGTTTCCGTATCCCTTTGGCAACTTTGCTTTTGGCCCGTTCGCATTCCATTTCCATTTCGAATGAATAAAACAAGGAAAAAAAAGGAAAGCCTTTTAGTTTGCGTAGTTTTTGCCTTTCAGAGGGGTTGGTTTCATTTTGTTGGGAAAGGAGGAAAGGGGTTTTGGGGTTGGAGTCCTTAAGTGCTAGGTAACAGCCTATGTAGGTCTAGGTGTGGCCATAATGGAGTCCGTTTCCATTTGTTGATTGCTCTGATTCCGTTTGAAATGCGGAATAAGGTTCCTTAAGCCAAGCTATATTTGGCTTGAATTAAAATTAGGATAATAATATAAGCCTTTGTGAAGGGTTGATAATGATATATAAACTATTATGGTCTTACTATATTTTAATTTTTGTTTCAACATAAAACTTTGAGGACTTATTCAAATCATTTTCAATTGATGCTACTAAATATCTTTCATAAATTATATTTATATATTATATCTATAAAAAATGTACAAGATTTTAAGGAGTGCATATTTAATATACTTCATTTATATTTTATAAACTTTGTAACACTTTCCGCACAATCTCCTGACATTATCCCTTAACTAACCTTGGCTAAGCTAATATATTTTATAAAAATCTGCCGCCAGGCACGCAACAATTCCTAAACGAATACAATTTCCTGAGTCACAGTTTACCCATTCTGCCAAATTGGGTTGCCTACCCCCCTTTTTTTGTGTTTTTGGGGCCATAGCCATATCATAGCCGTAAACAAACACTCCACTCCAACTTTTCCGGGGACGCCTTTTAAGCAACTGTTGTGGGCAGCCACGCCCAGAAAATTCTCTCTGCTGCCATTTTAGCCGCCCACCGACCCCTCCACCTCCGTACACTAAAAAGGTCATGGCAGAAAGAAAAGCAACAAAAGACCCAAAAAAAATAACAGAGAGGAAAACAAGGAAACGAAAATAAAAGGAAAATAAATAAACGCAAACGAAATCCAGGCCCCAACTTTACCTATGAGTTTAAACCAAAATAAAACCCCATACCTGTAGCGAAAAGGACCTGCCACACAGAGAGAAAATATACGTATATATAAGGTAATCAAAAACAGAAAAAAAATAAAACAAGAAATTAAGGGAAAAGTTTGCAGCTGGAAAAAAAGCATGTTTGTGTGCTGGTGTGTGTTGGCAAACCTCTTCATCACCCAAATACATGAACAACACACACACACACACACACATACACACACTCAATCCAAGTCTATGAAAGCGCAGGGCTTCCCCAAATGATAAACTTTTATTTGCTTTTGCGGGCGCACATTGGATTTTTCTCTTTCCTTTTTCTTTTTTTGTTGTTTTTTTTTTTACTTTGTGGGGCAGCAGAGGCAGCGACGTCGACGCCAGCAGCACTCCACTGTAATAAAACGAGCATTGAACGATGATGATGATGACGAAGGTGGGGGTGGTGGTTGGTGGGTGGTGGGTGGTGTGTAATGGGGATGATGATGACGTTGCCGAGGCGGTCGTCAGTTAGTTGCCACAGAAAGGCGAACATTAAACCAAGTCAACCGGGCCACCCCATCCACTGGGGAATTCCCAGTAATAAAGCGACCCAAGGATACCCCACAAGCGAGTCTGATTTTGTGTCCGGGTGTCACTTCTAATATGTCATGTATTTTCTTTTGTTTTTCATTAAACTTAAAACATTTTAATCGCATTTTCTCATGACTCCATTAAGAATATCGTAACATCATTTTTGGTTGGGACATACATATATTCAAGAGAAAAGCTCGATATAATATATCGATATATAGATATAAATACCCAATTAAACACTTTTCGGTTGGGGTCAACATATAATATATAATATATCGCTACAAATAGTTCATCAGATTTATAATAGAAAAAAAAAATTCACCCAAAAAACACAATAATGTAATATTAATATGAATATCAAGGCATCAAGAATTAATAAGTTATCAATATTTTCTGACAAACCTGATTCTTGGTAACCGTAAGTTACATATTCTTAAAAAAAACAATATAACCCATTTTTATAGAACCTTGCTGGGTAGCGACAAGTTTAACACAAATGAGTAGGCAACCAACGAAAGAGATAGAGCGACAAGGAGTGAAGGAGAGAGCAAGAGGTGAAAATGGTGGAAAGTGGGGGTGTGACAAGGAAACGTGAGCTTGGCCCCCTTAACAACCCGATGCGTCACGGGTAGCAAGCCTTGTT